ATATATATATATATGTAGATTTAAGTTATAATTCCCCTTAGGAGAAAGAGCTGCCGTGTCTTCCACTGACTAATTTTGTAGCGAAACTCTAAAAAAATTATCCCAGCCTTAGAGTCTTGAGGCCCTGGCACAGAGTGATTATTTTTTTCTTTCTAAGCATTCCAACTAGATTGAAAACTCTTTTGGTAACATGTGCCAAACACATATTAACTACTACAAAACAACCCTCCAAAATATTTTGCAGAATGATTTCACTGGTCATCTAGACACACAATAAGCAGCCTCCCTCTAGTTCATGTGTTGTTGTGGTTCACTAATGAGTGGTCCCCAGAGGAGAAAAGTCAGCTGTTCACAAAGGACCGGTTAATTCTTTGTGCCATGAGATGAAGCCATCAGTCTTCGGTTTAAGATCCATGAGTTCATTCTGAATGATTTTGGTACTTTTATAGCTTTCTCTGATAGTTGCTCTTCCTCTCTCCCTCTGATATTACTGAGAATATCTTCACTGTGAATTCCTATGATCGCAGGTTACTATAAGTCTATAGAAAAAGTTAATCAAATTATTTTACAGTTAAGAAATAACTATTGGAAGATTTGAGTGATGTCCAGTGATTGTTCCTTTTGATGTTATTACAGTTAAATTCCCTGCTATATAGAATCATTCCCATGTATATTCATACAGTTACTGAGAAAAAAAAAATACTGAGGGCCATAGTACTTAAATTCAAGTTTTGACTTGACAATTCATTGACTTGTGGAAATTTCTTCAATTCTGTGTTTCATCTTTTTTTGGTGTTGTTAATGAACCACATGAGTGTTAAGTATGTGCTACATGCAGGTTCTGTGAAGATAACAAGGTTTGTGGTTGGAGTCACATTGTAAAGTATAGAGTTCGGTGCCAGAACATATGATGATTTTATTACATTAAACAAAAATAGACAAACTAAGGATGGATATATCATCACAGTTGTCTATTTGAGGCCAAGTATACTAATCTTTTCACATGATGAAATTGAACCATTAGGTAGAGTATGCACAATTTTTGTTTTTCTCTCTGACATTTTTTTTTTTCTAACAATTTCTTAAGATTCATTTCAGGTGGGGATCAAAGCAAGTGCATTCTACAAATATATCTTGAGTACCTTTTAGTGTACTAGGTTGAGTACTTGAATACTAGGTTCAGAAGGGCAGAGAGCTATAAAACCAAATCCCTACCTTCAAGACATTAGAATAAAACTAGGCCCCATAACATAAATATGTGAAAAATTACATAATTGTTTGAAAATATTAACAAGGATTATAGGAATCACAGCAGGCATTTTACACATAATTAATTATTTCACCATGAAATGTTTTAAGGAAAGATTAAAAAATTCTACAACTGCCTTTGGATACAGTTATACATGGATATTAATGAGATCCTTTTACAATAACTGAATTCAGTATGATGGTAAAAGATAAATTAGCCCTTCTTTGAAGCTAATTGGCATTTATAGTGGTACTCTATATTTTTAAATTTTGTATTGGAGAATATAAGAACAACATTCCATTGATGTATTTGTTAGAGTATCCCACAGGAAATGTTTTATTATTGTATACACATATCATACATACATAAACATATGTCTCCTTGTATGAGGTTGTTGTGTATATCCTCACAATCTCTAGGAGACAGACTGCTGTAATCCAAACTTGGATGCCCCTAGTGATGCTGAAGGTACTGAGACATTCAGTAGTAAATCTGCAGAAAATTGGAAGCACATCTAAACTTATTCAAAGCACACATTTGAGTCACTTTAGAAGGACGATAGGCTTTCCAAGGGTACATAGTTGTATAGGATAATAAAAAGTATGATGAGTCTCCTGGTTCAGGTCTCTTGGTCTAGTTCAGGACCGAGGCTATTTCCATGGCAACAAGGAAGCACTTCTAAAGAAAACATAAAGGGGAGTCAGAAAAGTGACATGCCCTGTGAGTAAAGCAGGCTGGTTCAGTCTATAGGGCATGCACCCTTGATCTCAGGGTCATGAGTTCAAACCCCATGTTGTGTATGGAGCCTACTTAAAAAAACAAAAACAAAAACAAACACAAAAAGGAAAGAAGTCTTGATGAGAGGTGGAGTGAGAAGAGATTTTAGGTGTGCTAAAATCTCCTTCCTACTTGTTCTTATTTTTTTAATAGAAAATGTTACAGTGATGTATTCTTTTGGCTGCAGACGTTTTTTATACTTTATAAAAAGCAGCCCTTTAAACTTAAGTCATTTATTCCTTGTGATTGTGTCCATGGGTTCTGCTCCCTGAGAAGGAATCTGCATTTTGATTTTTTTTTAAATTTGGGTGTTGAGTGTGGGGAAGGGTCCAGAAAGTGAGAAGTTGGAGTCTGCTATCTACGAGGGTTGGATTTGATAGATGGTATTTTGCCTAGTTCACAGCTTTGGTTAGGACATTCCTTATAAGGGAAAGGATGTTCTCAAGTTTTTTTTGAGGTACACGAGTTGAAAATTATTACATTGTTTATAGAAGTTGCAACACAGTGCTTCTCTTTTATTAGATCTATTATTAAATCTTTTTCTCAGGGATGAACTATGTAATAATCTTCACAGGCTACAGCAATGAATAAGAATCACATAGATCCTGTCTAAACTTCACATTCCCTTTTTTCCTTTGAAAACTCATTGTTTGAAAAGTTATATAAATGAACATTAATTTTATTCTACATCCCAGCCCTATGTAAGACCCATTTCTCATTTTTTTTATTTGTTCATTAAAAACCAGATTGAGGGGCGCCTGGGTGGCGCAGTCGGTTGAGCGTCCGACTTCAGCCAGGTCACGATCTCGCGGTCCGTGAGTTCGAGCCCCGCGTCGGGCTCTGGGCTGATGGCTCAGAGCCTGGAGCCTGTTTCCGATTCTGTGTCTCCCTCTCTCTCTGCCCCTCTCCCGTTCATGCTCTGTCTCTCTCTGTCCCAAAAATAAATAAATGTTGAAAAAAAAATTTTTTAAAAACCAGATTGAGTCTAAAATTTCCAGGCAATATTCCTGACACCTTACGATATTGCTATCTAGTTTGAGTCCTGCTTAAGTAATTTTTCTTGCTTTTACAATGAATAACTTATTTGATCATACCCCATAAAAATGTACTCTGATTAATGAGAAAATTGTTCTGTTTTTAACACCTAATACTATATGAATATATATACAATGGTACCTCTGTAGCACAACTTGAGTTAAATGAATGAATGACAGACATTAATTAATTATAGACAAAACCCATTAGGCAATGAATGACTCTAAATAGAACTGGGTTTCATTCTTAGCATTTGATTTAACTGTTATTAAATGTAATCTTAAGGGTCTGCCTAAAGTGTTGAAAGTTTTTTACTAAAATGTGAATTCCAAAATAAGAAAGCATGATCAGTCTCATAGACAGATGTACAAAGAGTAGAGATTTATAAATTACAGATAATACATGAAATTACAAAAATCAGGACCATCTTTTAATGAGTTAAAAGATGAATGATGGAATGAATTAACATGAATGCTATTTCTGTTAGATACATTTTCTCTCCTGCATTCTGTCTATAATATGGCGTTTAATTGGCCCATAAAAATAAGGACCAACAAAAGTACTAAAAATATATTTGTGGCTTGAATATTGTTTCAGAAATATTCTTGTGTGGGGTTGCCCTAGCTTAGTGATGATCAAGTTTAAATAAAACAGAAAAATAAACTGAGTAAAAAGATACAAACAAATCTAGGTAGGATCAATGGAACTTTGGGACCCTACTAGAATTATTTTGGGGCTGGGGTATTTAGAAATCTGTGAAATATCTGAACTTTAAAATATTTTATTTCAGTGAGTTATTTAAAACTAATTTGGCTTAAACAGTTATGATAATAATGCCAATTTGCCCATGTGGGATACCAAGTTCTTCTCCCTGAGCCCCTGCTAGTTCTGTGCTTAGAGTTGGGGCCAATTTAAGATGGAATTCTTCCACAAAACTGTCTTTTATTAACTTTGTCCTACAAACATGTTCTCTTATACTGAATTCTTTTTGTTGTGTGGACAAAATGTCCACTTAACCATCAACTGCTACTCTAACACATTCTGTGGATATATTTGCCTTTCCGGTGATGATCTTTATGCAGACAAAGTTTTTCTACCACTTTCAAAAAGAGTGTTTTAGAAATAGCTCTCCTTGTATCCTCTAACTAATGAGGATAACTAATGAGGATAACAAAGAGGATAACCATCTTTGAAACCAGGTAGAAAAATAGAGCTAGCTTAAGATTTGAAGATTTGCTTTATTAGTTAGGCATAGCTACTTTAAAGTACGTAAAGAATTGAGTTCTAGTGCTGGCTTTGTATTTGGTAGATGTGAAATATGGGCAAGTCATTTCACCTTCGCTGAGCCTTAGTTTCTTGAGCTATAAAATGGGGAGAGCAGTATCTACCTCAGAGGGATAGAGTGGAGGTCGAAACAGATGGTCCAGGGCATATAGTAATATCCTTAATGAATAGTAACAGTTTATTTTATTACTGTTTTGAATGTTGCTAATTTATTAAAAAATAAAAATCAATTTCGTACAACATTTTGAAAAATATTGGTGTATTTATTAATTAAAGACTTTTCACTCTAACTTTGAGCTCCCATTTAGTGCAATGGACTCTAATTTTTGCTCATAGGTTGGTACTTCTTTTTTTTTTTTTAATTTTAGAAATTATTTTGAAGTCTTTCAAATAAAAAACTTTTTGTATGCATTTAATCAAGGAATTAGTTTTTAAGCCTCTAAAATATTAACTCTGCTAATAAACTAAGAATAATAAGCAAATAAAAATATTATTATAGTACAAAGAATAAATCTTCTTAAAGGTTCTGCAAAGATGTATATTGAACATAAAAATGATAAAAGAAGCTTAAGTGCACTTATAAATATGCAGAACTGTGGATTATTGTTTTCCATACTGTTTACAATGCATTTAAGCACTCAATTGCACGGTATTTGCTTAGGCAGTAATATAATTTCTCTCATCAAAGAGAAATTAGCTTTATCCCTTTTAAGAGTATTTCAGACTGATTTCAAATAATGATAAAATACATTTGGTGCACATCTATTATTTCAGCAGTTCTAATATTCATTAGGTTATTAAAACAAATACAAATTATGTCAAGACAAATGGCCATTCAGATATAATAATATTTTCTAATATTAATAACAATGTAGTATTTATGCACTTATAATGTGTGAGGCCTTTAATGTTTATTATCTTATTTAACTTTTCTAGTGACCTTGTGAAGCTAACAGCTATTATTATTCTAATTTTACAGACATGAAGCCTGGACAGAGTTTCACAGAGGGAACTAAGATGGGAAGGGACTTTGAACTTTAAAAAAAAAAAAATCTTGATGTTTTGACTGCTCATAAGAGATTAAGGTTAAATATTCAGAGACTGCTTGTCAGGCAAATAGTAAGGAAACAGGAACTCAAATCAGTTTATTGGGTACTGTAGACAGGTGCCAAGGTGGCAGTAAAAGAGAGAGGGTGTACAAATGGGAGGTAAGATTTAGACTGGACTTTAGTGGAGAGATTATGTAGAGTTTAGATAAGGGAGAAGACAAAAGGAGAAAAGAAGCAAAGGCAGTGAAGGTTAAGTGGGGCAGAATGCTTGTGAGCAGGAGTGCACATAGTTGGGACATTGAGTAGGAGGTCTTCTTGGAGGGGAGGAGAATAATAACAGATAAAGCTGGAGAGTCTTATTTTTTAATGTTTTATATTTTATTTTATTTTATTTTATTTTATTTTATTTTATTTTATTTTATTTTATCTTATTATTGTCAAGTTAACTAACATACAGCGTAGTCTTGGCTTCGGGAGTAGAATCCCATGATTTCATCACTTACATACAACACCCAGTGCTCATGTCAACAAATGCCCTCCTCAATGCCCATCACCCATTTTCCCCACCCTCCTGCTCCCCAGCCCCATCAACCCTCAGTTTGTTCTCTGTATTTAAGAGTCTCTTACGGTTTGTCTCCCTCTCTGTATCTTATTTTTCCTTCCCTTCCCCTGTGGTCAAGCTGGAGAGTCTTAATTGTCCCGTTGATGGGGATGAGTTTACACTTTGTTCTTTAGGCAAAGGGAGACTTTGGAGAAAGCAAGTATAGGAGTAACTTGGTGAAGCAGTTTTGTAGGATAATTAATCTGAATGTGAAAGGCTGGGGTGGAGGGGAACAGGAGAAGTGAGTGTGAGAAGGAGAGATCTATGTCTATTTAGGAAATTACAACAGTAGTCCAAGGAACACTTGATTACAGTGTAAAGTACATGGTGAAAATATTAATTGGATAGATTTCCTTTCTCTAATTGTCATGCATGTAAATGTCACACATTCATGTGTAGTTGTGTGGAAGTCTGATATGATAATCATGTGTAATTGTATGGAACTCTTCCATAGATTTAAGCATGTAAGTGCTTGGAAAGTAAGAACCAAGTTTGTTTATCTCTGTAGCATAACTTAATATTATCCACTGATGGGAGAAATGCAAGTATCAAAGCATGGTAAGCATTTTCACTAAGGAAATGAAGGCAGTTGTTCAGTCACCGTGAAGTTGTTCCAGTGGCTGATATTGTGGGTGTCTTTTACAGGCATGCGCGGGCTGCATCATATCAGTTGGGGGTCAGATTCCAAACAACCTGGCAGTCCCTCTATACAAGAATGGTGTCAAGATCATGGGCACGAGCCCTCTGCAGATTGACAGGGCCGAGGATCGCTCTATCTTCTCAGCTGTCTTGGATGAGCTGAAGGTGGCTCAGGCACCCTGGAAAGCTGTGAACACTTTGGTAAGGAGAGAAACACATGTCTGTTTTAATGTTCGCTTTTGAAGAGTCGTAGCATGAATGTTAACTACTGCAGACATTAACTCCAGGACAGAGAGAAGACACTGGGCTTAGTGACTTTACTTTAAAGCTGGTATATTTCCATGATTGCGGTTAAATGTTGGTTACAAATTGGTAGGAGTATTCTCATTAAGATTCAGACAATGAAAAACATTCAAACTATTTTTGAACTGGATTTGATATATAGAATTAGAAACTAGGAATTTTATATATTTCGAATGCCCAATTTACATTTTAATGGTGTCTTTTGAGAGAAAGAATAAAAAGAGTCGTGTTACCACTTGTTCTAAAGATATCTTTCTGCAGAGCTATTGAATCTTTTAAACTATTTGTGCGTTTTGTTGTTGTTGTTTCTATCAATCAGAACGAGGCACTGGAATTTGCGAAGTCTGTGGGCTACCCCTGTTTGTTGAGACCTTCCTATGTTTTGAGGTAATATATCTTTCCCCCAAAGTAATGATTTAAAAATCAGGAGATACAGAACTGCATGCTGTATGCTGATTGCACTTGACTTTGATATGTGCAATCTGTAAATCCATCCACAATCCCCAAACCAACACGGCTGGATGGAGGACCTATGCACAGACCTTCAGTTTACTGCGTTTGTCTCGGAGTGACAGTGAGAGTCTATATCCTCCGTCTTAGAAGCCTGGCTTACGACATCTCCTTGCCAAATTGAGGGAGGATAGTTTCAATTAGCGAAGAGAACAATTAAAAAAAAAAAAAAACTAAAACTAAAAAGGAAAACCAGCCAGAACAAACCCGGGATATCTGTCTCCAATCTCTGTTTCCCAGTACACAGAAATGGCAGCTGGTCTCAGACTGTCGTCAACACCTCCTGATGGTGCCTCTGGTCTGAACTTTTGAGTTTTTGAGAGCACATTTTTTAAGAGATAAATTGTAATGGTGAGGGACATGGAAAGTGAGGATCTTTTATATTAAACTTTGAAACGAAGTTCTATCATCAAAGGAGAAGTTTTGAATTATCACTTCATCTCTTCAGATGTTACCACATGTAAGCACCTACTTCACTGAACAGGGGATAATAAGAGAAACACAATTTGCTGTGCACCATTTGAAAGTGTAAATGGAATTTGAGATGGGGTCCTTTAAAACAATGAAAAATTTAAAATGAGGTGGAAAACTGTCCTTTTTATTTAAATGACATTTTGTGTAAATCACAGTCAAATAATACTTCTTCATTGAGGTATTAATGCAAATTAATTTAAACACGCAGACATTTAAGGGAGGGTTGCAGAAAGCAGCTTTGACTACTGTGCTGCCTTTCTGATCTCTGCAATCTGTCTCTTTGTTCCAGTTTCCTACACTGTGAATTAGCAATGTTATTGCCTTAGCCTTCCTGTCTTAGACATTGAGAGCTCTTTATGCAAAATTTTGTAATAGAGTAGAAAAGGTAAAGAAAATGCTACTTTTTAAAAAGAAGTGGAAAGTAGTGTGTTTCTTCCTTATTCTTTCCCTTCTCTTATTCCTCCTTCTTTCCTGCCTTCCCATCTCACTTTGAAAATATCAAAATTCAGTGTAAATTGATGTCAGCGTTCTTTCTCAAGCAGTTAGTGAGAAGGACACAGTTGAATACCTTTCAGTCAGTTCCTGTACATTATATTTGCAAATGTTACTAAAAATTTTATTCTTTTGTAACCTGGTCGGTAGTAGAATGACCTGCTTTGACAGCAGACCTGTGGGTAAGATCAGCCATTGGCAATGACCTCTGAAGAAACGGGGAAAGAATAGCTAGATCCTGGGATGAATGTTGTTAACATTTAAGAATCTCCTGGGGCGCCTGGGTGACGCAGTCGGTTAAGCGTCCGACTTCAGCCAGGTCGCGATCTCGCGGTCCGTGAGTTCGAGCCCCGCGTCGGGCTCTGGGCTGATGGCTCAGAGCCTGGAGACTGTTTCTGATTCTGTGTCTCCCTCTCTCTCTGCCCCTCCCCCGTTCATGCTCTGTCTCTCTCTGTCCCAAAAATAAATAAACGTTGAAAAAAAAAAATTTTTTTAAGAATCTCCTGGAACCAGCAGAGTGAAAACACGGAATCAGAAAGGACAAACTTTGAGTTACTGCCATCTCTAGAGCTATGTGGTTCTCTTTGGACGTTATCACAGTTCGCACCCCCAACTTGGGTGACTCTTTTGTTGATCGTTCTGATGATTAAATGGAGTAAAGTCTTAATTTAGAAAAAAAGCAAGTTCTTACTCAGTCCAGACTGGAACTAGAGGTTGCCTGGAACTGTTCTGAGAAGCAATCAAGACCAGAATGCTTTATTTCCAAAGTGATGAAAGAAACTGACTTGTCCTCCTCTCATTTCCAGTGGGTCAGCCATGAACGTGGTATTCTCTGAGGATGAGATGAAAAAATTCCTGGAGGAGGCCACTAGAGTCTCACAGGTAGTGTCTGATTTCTTCCTGGTGACTTTTACTTCTGATAGTTGCTATCTTATTTCATAGGTTTTTCTTTTCACACTATGTTAGAGTGGTTTTCCCTTTTATTTCCTACCCACTAGTCTCCTATATGTGGAAATAAGAAAACTCAAATGCATTTAACTGTATTTAGATCCTTAGGGTTAGTGGAAGAAGAAGACCAGTGCATGTTTCATCGCAACATTTATATGGTTTTAGACTCCAGGAGTGAGCCTGGATAAACATTCTTGACTGTTCATAAGTCAGATGCTAGTCAAGTTATCCCTGGGGTTCCCAGCCTCAAGGACTGCCCGATCAAGCTCATTATCTATCAGTGAAGGCTTTCCTGATTTTTAATTCTCACACTTGGCGAAACTTTGCCTTAGTCAACCCTGCAATTTTATTATTTTTTTTAATTTTTAAAATGTTTATTTATTTTGAGAGAGTGAGTAGCGAGGGCAGAGAGAGAGGGAGAGAGACAATCCCAAGCAGGATTCCAGCGTGGAGCCTATCACAGGGCTCTATCCCACAAACTGTGAGATCATGACCTGAGCTGATATCAAGAGTCAGACCCTCAATCGACTGAGATACCCAGGTGCCCCAACCCTGCATTTTTAATAGTAAACCCCTTTGCTCACTTATTGATTTTTTTCATTTTGGTACATTCCATTTGCCAGTTAATAAAAATGTTTATAATTTTGTAGTGATTTAACTACTTTCCTCCACTGCCCTCAGCTTTTATTTTATCCCTTGGTATTACCTCGGTGTGATCTATTTGAGATTTACCCAGTAGGGTTATTGATCTGCAGACCTTGTACTGTGAAGGATAAAAGTAATATTTGCCTTTTAAAAGCTTTCAAAAGCTTGTTGGGTTTTAAAAAAAGAGAGAGAGAGAGAGAGCACAACTCATAGAGAAGAGTTTGATGTTTGTTAAGTAGAATTTGGAGGGAGCTGAAGAGTAAAGTCTGAAGCATTTCAAAGAGGAATAAAAGAACATGGTCTGTGCCTCCTCATGAAGCCAGACCTCATTTCTGCGTGGTGGTTGCCCCCCAAGGACATTGGAGCAGTAAAGAAAGTAGCTAAGGATAAAGGGTGAGAAAGACAAAGAGTGTAAAAAAAGAAAACCAAATAGATTTTGATTCAGTTTGAAAGTCGATGGCTGAGGAGGGAATCTCTCCAGTGGGCCAGTTTTCATTAATGTGCCTGGGAGCAAGACACAGTCTTCTTCTCTATTTCACTTCCTGCAAGGGTCCAGGCAAACTCCCCCTCTGAGAAACCAGTTACACCCAGCTGGTCTCATGTGAATGATAAGACAGTTGTCCTCTCTTTTCTGCCTGGAACACTGGATCTTGCAGGACCTCTATTCATAGAATATTTTAAATATATATATTTTACTGCTAGCATATGGATGGAACCCACACTGGACCAAAGTTTTATAATGGAGATGTCCTGACTGAGTACATTCTGGTTCAAGGATTCCCATCAAACTCCAGCAGAATCTGGAATACTCAGTTCAGTGACTCTGGAGTAAAGATAGATCCTATCAATCATTCATCTATTTATGTATTCATTCATGTTTACCACCTGCTATATAATGGCATTGTTCTCAGTATCAGAGGCTACATTCATACAAAGAGAGATACGGTCTGCTCTCACAGAGGACTCTCTTTACTAGGGACATGAAGCTTCAAATAATTAGAATTAAATATAATAAGTATTGATATAATAAAATACAAGATACTGAGGAAGAGTGTAAATGAGATACATCCCTAAAAAAGGGCTTTTTAAATTAATTTAAAATGGTTTATTTAGAATTAACTGGATGAAAGGTTTATATTGTGGGTGTAAATAGAAGAAAGTAGAATAAAGTAAAGGTTCAAAACTGAGAAAGAGCATGGGGTTTCTAGAAACTGTTAAAGGATTCAGTATATGGCTAGGACACCAAACATGGTAGAGGAGAAGATAGATTCGGTAGGGAGCAGATAAAGAGAACCTTGTCAGTTATACTGAGTTTGGATTTTAGTCGTAATTTCTGATTTTAGTCATACTAGAGTATGGAGAGTGAATTCTGGGGCAAGACTGAATTCACGGAAGAAGGTTAGGGGCTGTTGCTATAGTTCAGATTAGAGATGACAGTGCCTTGGATCAGAGTAATAATAGTAAAGATAAAGGGACATACGTACATTCTAGAAATATTGAGATGGTCATTGGAGGCAATTAGTGAATAGAAGGAAGTAGACGGTGAAAGAGTATCTGATAAAGGATGATTCCTGAGCTTCTGCCTTGACAACTGGATGGATGGTGGTACCATTTATTAAAATAAGAGAACATGGGAGAAGGAGAAATTTTAGAGAAGGAGATTATATATTTATTTTTTGACCTTTTGTATAAGGTGCCTATGAGAAATCTAAGTAGAGAAGCTTCAAAAGCAGTGGGTTATACAGATTTTACATCGAGAATCAACGTCATGGCTAGTGATAGAAATGTACATATAGTTTTGGAAATAAATATATCATTTTAGTCAGAGTCTCAAGAATGGAAGCAATCACCAAGGAGACAGTATAGAGGAAGAAGAATAGCTAAAGCAGAGACAAGAGGGATACCCGCATTTAAGGACTGACCAGAGAAAAAAGAACATGAAGGAGCCTGACAGAGAAGCAGGAAAAGGTAGTTTATGGAAATAAATGGAAGAAACTATTTTAAGAAGGCCAACAATGTATAGTGCTGCAGTAAAATAGAAATTTATTAAATTGTCTTTCCTGAGGTGTCTGGGTGGCTCAGTCAGTTAAGCATCTGACTCTTGTTTTTTTGGCTCAGGTCATGATCTCATGGTTCATGAGTTTGAGCCCCGAGTCAGACTACACTGACAGTGAGGAGCCTGCTTGGGGTTGTCTATCTCCCTCTCTCCCTGCCCCTCCCCCACTCATGCTGTCTCTGTCTCTCTCAAATAAATAAACTTAAAAAAAAACAGAAATTTTCTTCCTCAACATGGTGAGGACTATTTCATAGATTTGTTCAAATGTCCAGGATGGTGGATGCTATTATTCCCCCACTCAGATTCCTTTACCTGTGGAAGCACCTATCCCTAACAGTAGTGATAGCTGATAACACTTACCAGCTACACTTCTCTGGGTAACTATCCTCAGTCAGATGAGAGCTTCATCAACAAGGAGTCAAGATCCCTCACATCACCACCACCCTGAAAACACTAGACAGTGAGTGACCTTTGCCTCAAGATGGGACTTACTCTGTGTTGCAGTTCGTGTTCCAGAGCTCCCTAGGGGGTAAAGGCCAAATTCAGTCTCCACTGAGACCATAGATTTACTAGCTTCTTCCTGCTGCCCCATCCAGCTTCCCTTTCTCTCTCTCTTTCTTTCTCTTTCTTTCTCTCTTTCTTTCTCACTTTCCCTTTTTTTCTTTCTTTCTTTCTTTCTTTCTTTCTTTCTTTCTTTCTTTCTTTCTTTCTTTCTTTCTTTCTTTCTTTCTTTCTTTCTTTCTTTCTTTCTTTCCAAATGTTTATTTATTTTGAGAGAGACAGAGAGAGAGAGAGAGAGAGAGAGAGAGAGAGAGAGAGAGGGATGGGCAGAGAGAGAGGGAGAGAGAGAATCCTAAGCAAGGTCCATGCTATCAAAACAGAGCCTGAGGCAGGGCTCAATCTCATGAACTGCAAGATCATGACCTGAGCCAAAATCAAGAACTGGATGCTTAATCGACCGAGCCACCTAGGTGCACCCCCCCCCAATCCTGCTTTTCTAACTCCCTCCATAAATCACCTGAACAAGGATCCCTGTCTCAGGATTGGCTAGAGAAGCTAAGACAGCTGGTAAACTTTTCTTTCTTTCGATTATGCTATTATAGTCATAATACAGAAGAAATCCCATATAGTTCTTAACACAGCTCCAGCAAGCCTGCTGAGGGAAACTTTGGGTATTTAAAGAAGAGGGAACAGAGATGGAAAGAAATCTTTTTTGTTTTCTTGGCTAATAAACAGCTACATATCTAGTCAGCTTTTGAAGAAAATGAAGTATGGAAATTGGCCTCTTTAATAGAAGAGAGAATTTTATTTATGGCATAAAACATTGGTGGTTTCAAATTTTCCACAAAATTCCTTTTCATTTCAAGTGTTCTACTAAAGAACATGTATTACATTATATGAAATGTAATACATATGCATGAGATGAACTCTATGATAGTGGCCCAAAGGAGCTTGTGTTCAGAGGAAAAGAAGATGTTTGGAGAAGAGTGAGGGGAGGAGGTAGCATCTGAGTCAGGCCTTGAAGGAAGAGTTGAGGTTTGAAAGATGAAGCTGAGGAGAGAAGGTGGGGTGCACATGGAGAAGAGAGGCATGGAGACGGGTAACAGCAGGGTCTGGTAAGCAAACAAGTGGTGCAACTTGCGGGCGCTTGGGGCAAAGAGGAGAGGAGATACCTGAACCCTGGAGCTCCTCAGTCAACCTCTTCATTTCATCTGGAGAAAGCAAGCAGTTATCCAGGTGTGGAGGGCATCACTGCACTGTCATGAAAGAGCTGGGAATGGGGCATGAGAAGGGTCTAAAACAGTGGAGAAAGGAAGGACCTTTTAAGATTAATAAAGTGAAATGTTGCAAATGCCGCGTGTTAGAAATGGTTTAGAGCATGTCCGTTCCAAGTAACAGAGGCCACCTTTGACCTAACAAAACCTCAACAAAATAATGAGATTCTCCTA